TAGCTTCTGCGATAGGCTCCGGACCACCCACAACCCTGAACTGGCCTGGCCGGGTACAAAAAATGGATAGATGAATGAATATGTATATATTTAAAATAATACTTAATTGCACTATAAGATTTTATTAATTCCCTTTTCTAAAAACAGATGAATGAATACTTTGGTTTGTGAATTGAGATCTTATTGTTTTCAATTTTAAAGAATTCCTTAAGTGTAAATGTAGAATAGGACAGCATTTGTAACTGTATGAGAAAAGACTAAAGTGGGCCAATTGCTTGGTTCATTGATTTGCATGGTCAGGGTCTAGAGGAATTTTTACAAAGGCCTTTCAATTCAAGCTGCACCATGACAGCCAGGAATTGCAATTACTGTCAGATGAGATCGAAGGAAGGTAAAGACCATGTAATTATGTAGTTGCCCATGCAGCCATTACATGGTCTATTGCATGGCCAAACGTAGTCTAATGCTCCGTGTCCTTCCCTCTGCTTCACTTTCAGGTGTTGTGCTAATTACTGATAACTAGTGCTAATGCACAGGGCAGGCTACATTTCAGTTAAAAACCTTCTGAGAATAAAGGTTTGGTTATAGAAGTTACATGAAAGGAATATAGCACAGTGTGCTACTGAGATGTCTTAGATTGACTTCATAACTTTTTTAGTTTTGTGTCTTAATTTGACATTATCAGAAGAATAGGTCAATTAATAATTAAAATACTCAAAAGATCCATTCTTCTTCTTCCTCTTCTTATTTTTTGTTCTTTGAAAAACATATTTTTAAGCTAAATTAGATCAAGTTAAAATGATTCCTAGAGTAATATTGGTTTCCTTAACTCATTGAACATTTTTTTTTACTAGAGAGTGTATCTGAACATTGCGTGTTCCCTTTCTGTAATTGAGCTGTTCATAAAATTAAACCAAAAATCAGTATGTCTTTTGGCAGGCTTTCTCTGTCTTTTTTCAAATAATATATAACGGGATTAAATGGACTTTCATCCAATGACAATTTTTTTAAAAGTACTTTGAAAAGTTGAAGGGAAACCAAATGAAAAACAAAAATTATCACATCCCCTGTGTCACAGAAACACAGCATGGCAGCAAGCTCTGTTGCTAGGAGACACAGTATGCTCCTTTTTGATGAAAAGGGACAAGGACACAACTGTCAATACTGGACTCCACAGAGTCCAGTAAATTCCCTCCAAGAATACTGTACATAGTCCCTGCCTGCACATGCATATGGTTCATGCACAGCCGTGCATTTTATTGATATTCTCTCTAAGCAACAACCTCACTGCTGATTCGTTCTTAGCAATATAAGGTCTAATTTCTCATTATACTTCTTCACTCGTATTATGAATTATTCTATTTATCTATTTTTGTATATTTTTTATTATTGAAAATTTAAACATCAGAAATGGATTCTAATAGTATTATGGTTATCAGTAAGCATGTCTATAAACTGTTTATTCTGTAAATGTGTAGCAACATGATGTGTGTCTTTGCCTATATTATGTAAATCAGCAAGGATCCGTTTTTGACAATTGGTTAAAAACTGAAGAGGGTTAATCGTAGCAACAGCCTTGATTCCCCCTTTGGCAGTTTATCCTGCCACAACCATTCTATTGGCTGCTTATTTCTGCTTGTTTCTAGCATCCACACACTGGAAGAATGTCCAGGGCAGCCCCTGGCTCCAGGGCACTGGTGGCAGCTTTTGGGCAGGCAGCACTGATAACAGGTGGGATTGATGAAGTGGAAGAGGCTCTGTCTTTGAAGCCACACGCCATCATTGGCTGTTATCACACACTGCCAGGCTGCTAGTGTCATTGCTGACAGGGGATAAAATACTGGAGGGGTGGGATCACTGGGAGGGGAAATGGAGGGAGGGGAGTTTGAGGGACGGGGCTTGGTTCCATGATGATGAGTCCATGACATCTGAGTCAGAGCAAATGGAGATCTACTTAATCTTTGAGACAAAAACAGTATGAACTTGATGGTGAGAGCAGTCAACACTATGTTTAAAAAAATTAACAGGTGTGTTTAGGTGAAAAAAAGAAAGAGAGATGACTTTCACCATTATTTCACCATAATGTGTGCCATATAATCATAGATGTGTATTATTATATTATATTATTATATGCATATATTGAAATTCTATTTCTGTGTTATTATCACAACTAATTCTTTAGAAGAAACAACAAGTGAGGGAAAAATCTCAAGAGATTTATTGATTTTCATAAATGTTCTGTAAGGTCATATTGACCTTCTATCCAATAACCCTACTGGGAAATGAAATATGTGCTTCAAATGTCATTGTTTAGGATTTTGCCATTAACATTCATTATTTTATTTTGGAGTAAATTACAAATGCTGTAATTTTTTAATTTATTGCAGGAGATAGCAACAAGCATTTTAATTGTGTGTCCAGCTATAACCATCTCTCGTAAACCCCATGCTCTGTTTATGATCCTAAGAATTGTCTTGTAAAACAATTGTGCAAATTGCAAATTACCATGATATCATGATAAATATATAACTTATACATTCCATTGGGAACTACATTCTAGAAGTATAATCTCCATTCCGTCATACCATGTTTGATTGTTTTGCTGTGGTGGATGTTGTATGACAGCGCTGCACTGCCTATTCAATAAATGATAGGAATATTTTTAAAAATCCATTATTAATCGTAATATCCTTTTATAGGTACCACTTCATAATAAGGCTCCCTTTTGTCACTTGTAACTGTGGTAGTAACTCATTAATACGTACAAAGAAAACTGTTTTATAACTTGTTTTAAATTGTCTATTAATAAGTAATGTGTTACAACCTAATTAATAACCAGATTATAAACCATTCATAAACTCTTTATATGGATAGTCTTATTGTATATTTTATATGTTCAAACAAAGAAGTATAACAGCTAAGTCATATATGATCTTTTATATGTATATTAAAGAATATATTAAATATTAAAGCAATAATTTGGATAAAATACAGACTTTCCATCACTCTATACTGCATAAGCAGGTGTGGAGTGGATGGACTATTGACTTTCAAATAAGGCTACTGGCAATCTTTTACCACTTAACCACATGGGGGAGCAATTGTTCTTCCAAAGTAGAATGGCTTTTGCAGAAGTGGCTTTATTGTTAATTTGTTTTTTTTAATTTGTTTTTTTTTTTAAGGTTACAGGTATCAAAAATGCAATGCATTCATGCTGAATATCTGGAACTCTTAAACACTATACAAACACCAAAATAAAATATACGACGTGAGGTGTGTAATAGATAGATATCAATAAAGCACCGGTGTCAGACTCCAGGCCTGGGGGGCCAGAGCCCTGCACAGTTTTGAGTTTCCCCTTGTTTAACACACCTGATTCAACTTCTTGTGCTAATTACCACATAGCTGTTGAGCTGAATTATTTGTGGTGGAACAGGGAAAGAACTAAGCCAGGACTGCAGTTTCACACCCCTGCACTAAAGCATTATAATGCTTTACTGTGAAGCCGGAAGTAACAAGGGATACAAAAGACAGGACAATGTTTTCTTCTGTAGTGCTGCATTGTATTATAGTGAAAACACAGGGCAATTCCTATCAGTATCATTATTACTTGTACTATGAAGGCTAGTTCAAGGGCATTTTCTCTTGGCTGTAATGTCCTAAGCAGAAATGAGATCAATGTACAAACTGCAACATGCCATTTTTATACAAAGTAGTATAAAAATAATAGTAATATAATTATAAACATAAGTTTAAAACAAGCATAAAATGTATATTTATTTCATTATACTGTATTAGGTTAGTTATTGAGAATACATAACTGGAGTATCATTAAATTTGTAATGGGTCATTTGTGTTTTTATCAGAATGAACGACTGTTTGGTGGGGGTCTTGGGGGGGGGCGGGTCTCCCCAGGGCTGGCGGGGCCCCCGCGGGGTGTGCGGGTGGTCCGGGGTCCGCGCTCTGTCCGTGCCTGCGTGGCCGGCCTCCCGGGGGGGGCCGGCGCGCTGCCGCCTGTGGCCGTGGGGTTCCTGCCTCGTGCTCGCCGGTGGGGGGCGCCCGGTGCCTCCCCCCCTGCCTTCCTTGGGTGGGCGCGCAGCCGTCCGGTGGCGGGGGCCCGGGTACGTGGCCGCTGTGGGGCGGCTGGGTCCGTGACCCGTCGGGGCTCTCCCGGTCGTCTGGGGGCCCCAGGGCCAGGTACCCTACATACATCCATACACTACCATACACACATACACATATGCGTACACACACACATACACGTATGCGTACACACTCACATACACGTACATATGCACACGCACACACATACACACACTTTCATATCAACACACATACACTTAGAATGCACACACACACAGACATGCGCGCACACACACACACACACACACAAGAGAGCCTAGGGCTCTCTTCCCCTATTTTATCCCTCTTTCCCCTTGTCTGGGTGTGTGTGTGTGTGTGTGTGTGTGTGAGAGTGTGTGTGAAAGTTGGTGTGTGGCTTCCACTCCCTCCTCTCAGATGCAGATACGGGTACGACGATATTTAGACAGTGTTCCTGGTAGTCTG